ACACACACACACTCACACACACACACACACACAGTCCAACAACACCACACACACACACACAAACACACACACACACAACACACACACACACACACACACACACACACCACACACACACACACACACACACAACACACACACACACACACTACCAACAACACACACACACACACACACACAGCACACACACACGCCACCAACACACCACACACACACACACACAACACACACACACACACACTCCTCTTCTCCTCGACAAACCAAGACCTCAATTAATATCTGTTGTTTGTGCACTGGTCTGTGTGTAAGTGGTTTGTGTGTTGTGGTTTTGTTGTTGTGTTGGTGTGGTGTGGTGTGTGTGTGTGGTTAAACCCGGAGCCAATTTGGCTGTCTGCGCGGTGGTTTTGTGTTCGCAAGCTTATTTTGATGCGCTGCAGCCAGAAGAGGGAGAGTGATGGAACCTGGTGATTTACAGCCTCTACCTGTATATATATGCACACACACACAATGAAAACACAACTCCACCAGGCCTAAGGGAGGTCAGAGGAGGTGTTGAGGGGGGGTCGGAGACGCAGGTGGCGATGCCATCCCCCCTCCGGGGGCACCCAAGGGTACGATCACCCAGGCCTGGTGGTCCCATCTGCCATGGTGGGCACAAGAGGAAAAAGTCCATTTTACTCGTACTTGAAATTGACTTGAGTATCCTATACTTTGTGCTATATTTAAATCTGAGAGAGGAAGAGGAAGATGTTGCATTACAAACATGTGAAAAACTTTAAAGAGTCCTCTCCTGCTGAATGTTCAGGTGTATATTCAGTATGTAGTGGTCTTACTTTAAAGAGTCCTCTAACTTGCTGATGTTCGGTGTAATATCAGTATTAGTGTTCTACTTTAGAAAGTCCTCCTCCTGCTGATGTTCGGTGTTATCAGTATGTAGTGTCTTACTTAAGAGTCCTCTCCTGCTGATTGTTCCAGGTGTAATATCAGTATGTAGTGTCCTACTGTGACATGTCTTCCATGCTTAATGTTCAAAAAGCCCTTTATTTTTCCTCTTTTCACCCTCTGTCTGAAACCAGAGCCCGCCAGTCTTGCCCTGATTGGTTAGCTAGCCCTGCTCTGTTTTTGTGATGCTTAGATATGTCCCCGCCCCCTTAAGCCTATCAACGTACATGTTGTTGAAGCGCTAGCCAACACAAGCGTGGAGGGTTTACATAGTGAATGTCCACTATGGAGGTAGGAAGGTAAACAAAGGAAGTCAATGGAGGCGTTTCAGGCAAGGGGGGGGACAGGAAAATTTTTAGCCGCTGCAGACCTACATATCACATATATAACACATTAAAAGCCACAAAAGGGCCTCCTTTGTATTAGAAATAACAAAGAAGGACTCCGCAACGACGTGCCTGCAGCAGCAGGACATAGGTTAGAATAACTGAGAGTATTAGCGTCCTCCCTGCCGTCTGAATCCCGACTCTCTAATAAAGTCCGGTATGTCCTGATTATTAATTCTGAGGCGTGTGCAGCCATTCGGTGGGATGGATTGTGAATCTCCTCTGCGGCTGAAAACGCTAGAAAGAACAAATGTCTTTTACAGCGGAGCCACTGATAACTTCACGCCCCCAGACAAATAAAGACTGTCCACTTTTATTGATTTCCCCACACACCCCGCCTCCACCATATACACCCACACCCGCTGCTCCATCCCTGTCTGTGTTTTAGCCCCCCTCCCTCCCTCCTGCACACCTCCATCCCATCAAAGCCCCCCTTTAATGGGGAGGCGTCCAACAGCAGGCACGGAAAACGTTCCTACTCTCAAAGTGTAGCACATAGGAAGATGTTTAGGGTGGCCGAGGGGCAAACAAAGGGGATTTCTTTGATTTGAAGGCAGGTTTGATTGTAACCAGGCAATTCAAACATTAAAGAATAGAGACAAGGATATTAAGAAAATACAAAAATAAAAGGTTGACTCCTTGTCTGTCTCTCTTGCTAAATAAACGTGCATACTGTATACAGGCATAACCAAAAAATCACTTTCAAGATTCAAATCGTTGTGAGAAGATGTAAAATAAATACAAATGAATTATCATATTATATGCATCCGTAGTTAATCCCCCAAGTCTGTTTCTCCTTATAAATAAATGTGCGTTCTGTACATACAAATATAAAATGATAAATAATTCAAAGCAATCAGGGTTTGTTTTGTAGCTAGGCAAGTTAAACGTTTTTAAATAATACACAAGGCATTGAGAAAAGATAATATGAAATGAAATGGGTCATCAACTTTTAGGAAGTGGAATAAAAATTGATTTATTGGATTAAAAGGCAAGTTTATTTGTAACCAGACAATTCAAACATGTTTAAATAAAGACGAAACAAAAAGGCATTAAAAAAGATAAAGGAAAGAAATAGTCCAAAATGTGAGTGTCCTTTTATCCCTCTGTCTGTTTCTCCCTCCAGATAAACATGTCTACTGTACATACAGATATCAAATGTTAAATAAAGTCAGCAGGATGGAGGTGAAATTGTCTCCTAACAGCGTGGCGGCGGCACATAACGAGAAATGCAATTTATTCGTGGGCACGTTGCTGCTCGGACAGCCACATAATGAAAGGCATAGGTCATTGACGGAGACTTAAACCTGCAGCAGCGGAGAGAAATACATTAATAAATATCCACAACATTACTCCTAACCCACGGAGGGAGGGGGGGGGGGCTCCTTATCAAACACCAGAACACAATTAGTGTTGGAGCCGCTTGCAAATCATAATATCCCCGATCATTGACATGTGAATATCCATTACAGCCGCCCTGTGGGAGGAAGGTGAAGCGTGCCGTCACTTTCACTCTGCAGGCCACATGGGAGACTTTATCTTCTGTTGCATGCATGTGAGAGCAGGAGAACACTTCTTATAAATGAAATGATGGTTTGCAGAGATCCACAGGTATGGAA